CATTAAGGGAAAAATAACACCACTGCATGAATTTCAATCTGCCCTTCAACAATATCCCACCTTTGCCTTTTCTATCTCTTGTTTCTTTTGCAAAGACTGTATTATAGATGGAGCAGTGGAAGAAGGCAAAGAATATGTAATTTAATTGCTTCCCATTAATTCGGAATGGTTAGTCCAAGCAATCTTCCTCTAAGTATCCATATATCAGATAACAAATGGACCTAACTGTTGACAATGAGAGAAAAATCAATTTATTTGTAAGTAATGCAAATTTATTATGAAAAATGCTTCTGGAACAGTGCAAGCTTCTCCCATTTCTATTGACAAATTCGATACTTAGAACTATTGACCTAAAGCAAGGATTACTGTCTGACAGAAGTGCACTGTGACAAAAAAGGGCTCGGAATGGAAGTTTTTTCCAATTTTCTTCACACTTTTAACAGGGAACTACATCACTCTACTTTTTTGGTGTAGTGTCTTATCCTGTTGCTAAATAGCTATTCTACCTGGTGAGCAGAGGAGTGTACTGTATTTGGCTGGGGTAGACAGGATGACATTCCCTCTCCCTGACTATTTGATTACAGAAAGAGTGGCAGACAAAGAGCCCTTGGCTCATGTCTTCTTTGTGACTCATAATCTAAGCAGAAATGAGCATTGGAATAAAGGAAGTCTTTAACTTCCTCTTCACTCACCCACACCATAAGCAAAGGTTATGACAATCCAGCCTTAAGAACTCTGGATGAAAACATAGTGAGTCACCTGTTTGCAAATATCTCTCCCTTCTCTTGCACTTCATCTCTGTCGGTGCTCCGTGTCTGCTTCGCGTTCACGCGATTTGCCCACCACCTCCCTTCTGCATACAGCTGAGCTCTCAGAACCCTTGCTGCAGTCTCTCTTTTGACGGTTTCTTTGAGGTCCACCATTGTTTGACGCGTGTAGTCACCGCTTTTCTTTTAAAGTTTTGATCATAAAATGTCAGCCATTTTGTCTCCTCTTAGTGATCTGTAGTTTATCCCAAAGTTACAGTTGTTGAAAATATACATTTCATATGTAATATGTTTACGAATTTAGAAGTCTCATACTTCTAGGCTTTTACAGATGTTCGTAAATTAAAAGGCAGAGAACTTACTGTTGAAGCTCTAATTCTGTTTTCTGCCTGTTGCTCCCTTTCTTTTGTTGTTGTTGAAGCTGTTGAAATGCCACAGTTTAAGTACACTCGGTTGCTAAATATATCCTCTTTCTTGGTTCATTTTCTTGCAATATAGCTACTTTCTGATTTCACAAGGATTGACTCAATTCTGACACAATGTTCCAAGATGAAATCGCACACAGTGTGACATTCAGACTACCTTCTTCATACTAGCACTCTCATCACCTGAAAGTAGAATCTTACTTCCTTTAGCTGACCAAATATGTCTTCAGTATACTCCCATAGAAATCTAGTTATTATAATACTCTGTTGAAAAGTTATTTACTATTGATGGTATATTAATTGTCAGAAAAGCTATACTGGTTGCATTGAAGATAGGCTGAAAGTTTGATTTTTAAAATATCAATTAATTTATTTCATTATGCTTTTTGATAAAGAACAAAGTATGTTGCCATTTATAAAGCTGTGTGTAAAAATACTTTGTCTTGCTTATCCAGTTAGTAAAATAATATTAAGTCCTTCTAAAATACACCAAAAAAATCAAGTTCAGTGTTTTTGTGTAAAAAATATTAAAAAAGTCTCATTCCATAGTTAATCAGTACTAACTAAACCCCATCCTTTACTAGAAGTCACTTTGTGGGGCGGGAGGGGGTTGACTGGGAGGAAGGAAACAAATTACAGGGAGGGGGGGGAAGGAGGAAAGGAGGCAGGAAGATAGGGAGGCAACAACACTTATCTGTCTTTCCAGAAGTACCAGATGGTAAGTCATGGAATTATAAGCATTTAAACACCTAGAATATTACAAGGATTTGAAAATACCAGGAAAAAAGTGGGATGGGGTGGGGGGGGAAGAAAGGAAGAAATTATTTTAGAGGAAAATACGCAAAGAAACATAGAGCTGTGTAAGGAAAATTACTAGACAAACACTACACCTAGACTGAAAGGACATGAATGCTGACATCCTCACAGAATACTGTGAGCAAGAGTGAAAGAAAGAAATGACTACTATATAACTCCTTATAACAAAACACAGTTAAATGCAACTCCATAAGCTACCAACAGAAGAATGAATAGCAATACAGTGCAAACCAGACGGAGAGAACGTAGGACTAGCAGATTTAGGCATATTTTCTGTCTGAGGACATGAAGTTCAATCAGTGGAATAAAAGTCTACTGGAAGAAGTACAAAAATAAATATTGAAATATTAACAACATATTTTTAATTACAAGATCACTTGCAAATTATTTTAACAGTATTTGACATATACTGTCAGAAACAATGGAAATGTTAATGTCTTTTCTGTCTCTAGTTTCTGTCATGCTACACTGTTAAACTAAGCTTCAGCTATTTCACAATGCACAGTTATTTCTATATTTGGTGAAAATACCTAAATGTTTACGCATATCTGCAAGTTCATCTTCTATATTAGGTAAATTGTGCTCACTGACATCTGAAACCACTGAACCAAGATTTTGATTGCCATGCTTCCTAGAAACACAAAAAACTCTTCAAAAGCTCTGTGACAACATCCCCTGAAATAAAAATCAAAGCCGTATACTTTCTTTTTAAGATTATTCAGTTCAAATGGTGACACTTTTACTTATTCACAAGGTGTTCTTTTGATGAAATGACTGGTCTGGTAGACCATGGATACCATTGGCAATGAAAATTCAAATTGACAGGCATGTAGAGCGATGGAAGATTTGATGTGTGATATGAAATCTTTGGCTATACTCAACAACTCTAATGAGACTTTTCCAAAGTCACTTTTCAAATAGTTTCATTCTCCCCCTACAAGCAGTAATCAAAGAATTATTTAAACAGTATGACACCACATGGTTTGAAATAATTCCCCCGGGATTACATACTTTGCAATTTTAAAACAAAAAACAAACAAACAGTAGGAACTATTTTATGGACCCAGTTTAAAGAAAAATAGATGCAAGCAATTATTATAAAGTTGACATAGCAAGATATGCTAGGATTTAACACTAAAATAAGGAAGTTTATTTTGAAGGTTAAAAATATCTCATTCAGGGTCTGAAATGTTCAATGTGTTTACTAAGCTTTTAGAATTTAAATTCAGAAAATATTTTCTCAAATGCTTTATTAATACAAAGACCCTTTGGATTTATACAGATTAATATATTTGATAAAAAATTATTTAGTTCACTTAGACTGAAACAATGGTGGTCTTTCCTCAAAATTTGATCAAATCCCATTAGATCAACAAATATTAAAATTTTATATATGCTTTGAGGTCTTTTAAAAATTTTATGGACAGCCTCATGCATTCTCTAATTCCCGGCATGTCAGACAATAGCAACAGTGGAGCTTTATTAAGCACTGTGAATACCTATCTTCAGTTTGTTGAGACATATCAGGTTCTTCATTTTATTCACATATCAAACCATGTAACCATGATGAATTTAGCATACTTTAGTCCCTTCCCTTTCGCCCTGCGGCTGTACATACATATGCTGATAGCACATGCTGTACATATATATGCTGATAGCACATGCAGAAAAATTACAGGGAAAAAAGTTGTCTACATAGAGAGATCTCTTTTTTAAAAATAAATTCTTAAGAATAAGCCAAAGAAAGCTCCCAATAGTTAGGAGCTCAAGCAGGTACAGCCTGCTACATTTGGGAAACTCTACTTTGGGCTTGGTCAGAGATGTCTGAATTGCCACTCCCGCATCTGAGAGAACAGGGAGGAACTTGAGCAGTTCAGAAAAAAGTCAAATGAGATGAACCTCTTAGTCCAACAACCAAGCCTATCAGACTGAAAAACTGAGGCAGCAAAGGGCAGAAGGAAGCAGACATACCAGGACATTAGCAAAAAGGCAGAAAGAGCAGTCCCAATTTCACTACAGGATAAAGTGAAAGATACTCATAGGAAAATAAAAAACTGGATCCAGAGTAACTTGGAATATTTCTCAAGACAATTCTGTTTACATACAAGTTGGGAACCTCCCAAAAAACAAGGAACTATAACTTTATCCTCTGTCCTTGTAGATGCAGTGACATTATAGATGCACGCTAGAACTTTTCTTTCCTATAACCACTTAAATAAAGTTTCCTTGTCTATTAGGAGAAAGGCCATGCTCAGCAGTTTAAACATAGCATTAGCATATTAGAAAGAACCATTTACTTCTTGTCTGCATCTGTAAGACAGACTCATTCATATATAATATCACACATTAACATGTTACATGAGCATCTGGAAGACAGAAAAGGCTATAGCAACATCCAAGCCTCTCTGTTTTAGTAGTACTGTTGGATACAAAGAGATATACATACATACATACATAGGACAAAAAACCACAACAAAGACCAGAAAACTAACAAAATTAAGCCTTATCCAAATCTATGCATGTATAATTAGCTCATTTTCTCATTTATCTCTTGGAACATTTCACAGTCAAAATTTCAATAATGTGTTATGAAATCAGATTCAGTCCCTGGCACCACCGTGAATGCAGTGTACATTTACAACTGAGTACATTATGACTACTATATAAGCTTACCTTTCTAGGAATCCTCCAGAAAATACTAATTTTTGAAAACTTTTCATAAAATACACTGCAAAAAATGAATGTCTCAATTTAAAAAAAGATCACTCCAAACCATACTACTATCCAATTATGTTATTTCCATGTGTCCAAGTCACACACATACATATTTATTTAGGCTACAGATACAAGAATAGGGTACAACTAACAAGTATTTTATCATAGTTTCTATCCTTCTCAGAAAGTGACATTTGAAAGGCTAATACAGCACAAAAGTAGTATGGAAGAACAGTGATAATAAAAAATATAAGCAAGAAAAAGAAAACATACTTACACTTCTGCTCTTCCCACATAGATTACAGGTATTCTTGCTCATGTTGACTCTATGACAAAATCGGGAGTGTTTTACAAGTTTCAAAGGAGAGTTTTTATCCCTGGTTCAGCCAAATATCAGCTGAGATACTGAAAGGAAATTAATTTATATCATTAGCATGAAGGCCTTTCAAGTTGTACAACACTCAGGCATAAGACACTTCATCAGTTTATAAAAGCTGCAAACATTTTAAGATCCACTAGAGCAGATGTTACTCTAAACCACACAGCAAGCATACCCATGAACAGTTTTTGCTTTCCTGTCAATAACAAATGCATACTAACTCAAAACCATTACAAAAGATTACAGGCTTCTGAGGCAGAGCTTTTTGCCACAGTTAACAAGATATTGGCAGTATTGTTTGTAATAATGAAATAAGCTTACTGAATATTTTTATCCAGTTTCTCAATCTGAGGGAATCCATTAATTTATATGCTATTCAGGCTAGGACATACGCTAAATTAGTGGAAGAAGATTAGCTATGGTAATTTTCAAATTCATGTTGAAACATTCCCTGATCACTATTTTTCTGTGGATGTAATACCTAGAATTTTCACATGGCGTCAAAAGAAGAGACCTCATTAAACTAGCCCAGAGGTACTTCCAGGAGCCAGATTAGTGTAGTTTATTATAACAGGCACATGAGTCATACAGGCAGATGCCTTTCTTCCAGATCTTTCAAGCTTTCCAAGTTTTCATTAAAGCACCGTGGATTTTATTCCTGTTGAACATGATGGATATGACCAAAATATTAGCCAAAGAAAATGTGCAAACTGAAGTTATTCATATTGGACAACAGAACAATATATATACACTTTTATTTCATCATCTGAGTCATTAAGCCTTAATAATAATTATTTATATATAAGCTGTAAACACAACAAAGACTAAAATAAAGCTAGTGACTTCAAACTGAAGATTTTTCTCAGATTGCTTAGCATTTAAATTACAGGGGACAATTAAAATGTAAATATTTCTACTGAGCTGGTTGATCAATTACAAATTTTTTTTTAATTTTTTTTAACAGGAGATTAAGAGATGACAAAATAAATAGAAATAACTTGCCATTTATTTTCTGTTCCTAGCGCTATGTTTTCACTACCTTTCAAGATTTTTTCATGGTGTGAATGTATATTGAACAAAGTGGGACACATACAAAATACTAGCAATCACTTCAAGTACTAAGAAGTTTAGAAAAAAATACTATAGAGATATTGTAAGAGGAGAAATTAAAAACAGCAAAAAATTTTAACAGACTACTTGAGAAGATTCCAGGGTGAATCACAAGATTTAAGTTCCTGTAACATCTAGTATATTATTGTTGTTTATTTGTTTGGGTTTCTGTATGCATGTCAGTCTACTTACAGAAGAAGCATATTTTCTTTAAACAGAGCTATAGAACACTGCAAAATAGTAGTTGCTGCCCAATTTGATAGACTTGCACTCTTCCTGCTTGTTAGCCTTACATCTCTTTAATTGTATTTTGTTTTCAAAAGCATTCCCTAAAATTTGCACAGGTATACATTGAACTGGCTGGGAAGCTCTTATGTTGTTTTAATATTTATGACTTGACCATGAACAGCCTGGAGAGTTTAATGCTTCTGTGCAACAGTTGTTCATCCATTGTGTTGGGCGAAAAAGTTTTCTCCCTGGAGTTAAAAAAATGGTAACTCTGAGGGGGTGGTGTCCCTTGGGGTTGACCCAATCAGCGCTCCTGCAAAATGTAAACATATCACCCCAGACTGGAAAAGAAGGAGGTTGTAGTTGTTAGGGAAGAGAGTGGTCACATTGTAAAGCCATGAGGAGAAGGGGCAGGAGCCCCACTGGGGGCTGGGCACCCCCCAGCCCCAGCTGGGGGGCTGCAGGAACTTGGAACAGTACTAAACTGAGCCAAGTTCTGTAGCTGAGAGCTGGGGGAAGTTTCCTTGCTGTGAGCAGACAGCCGGAGATACTGAAAGCAGCGGCAGAGACAGCAGCAAACGGAGAGACTGTGGCAGAAAGCCAACAGATAAGAAACAAGCATGCAGCAACGCAGAGAGAACTCCTGCAAGGAGAGAGAGAGAGAGAGAGCAACAGAGCAGGACTAAGCTCTACAGAAAGAGAGAGAGTTTGGGGTAAGAACTGAAACAAACTCCCCAAACCCCACTGAGACCTCCAAGAGAGGAGGAGGAGATGGACTCCTATTTGAGAGGAGTCTTGGAGTGCAGCATGCACTGGAGAGAGGACCTAAGAAGCTCAAGATGTCCTGGAGCTGGACTGGGATGGCCAGATGGAATGCGGAGGGGTGACCTTGGCCCGCCCCCCCCGCTCCTGCTGCCAAGCTGGCAGTTTTGAGACAGAGCACAGGAGCTCTGATAGAACTCTTGAGCCAAAGGTTTTCAACTGAAAGCTGCCCGAGACGTTCTGACTCAAGGGAGCTTGAAACCCCCGAGGAAAGGGACCATCACGAAGACTCCCTGCACTACGTGATATGATGTGGTGACACGAGCTTGTCCCTGATATCACAGTCCACAGAAGAGAGGGGGGAGAGGACACCCCCTTGTGTTTAATGGAAGGAGATCCAACTACAACAGTCTGGCTACTGCTGCTGCACGAAGAAGAGAGGCTGATGCCTTGAGAGTGGAAAAGATCTTTCCTTTTCCCTTCTGGACTTTTACTGGAGGGAGAAGAGATTGATCCATTGTAAATACTGCTTTAGCATAGGAGGAGTAATTAAGAGTGTATATATAATGTATGATAATATTTATTTGTATAGTGCATTGTAATATAATTCCCTTCCCCCCATTTTGAGTCTCGTGTTGTGTCTGGAAAACCCATCTCACACTGGGATGAGATGTGGGAGGAGGGTTTGGACTCAGGAATTGGATTTTAGGGGTCTCAAACTACGACACCACCCTCTACCAGGAATTTAGGAAACAGAAACTAAGGTGAAGACATTGTCTTCATCAGGAGGTAACATTCTGTATGCCTATATATTGTGCTTGCTAAACATTACATAAGTAGTTTAAGTCTGCTTATCTTAGGTACTTATCTAAAACCTGATTAAACGGGTTTCAATATATGAATGTAGAATAAAGTGATTTTAGGGAGCAGACTGCTCGCAGCTAGCAAGATTATGGTACTACTTTTTATTTCACTAAATCTGACTCTAAGGTCACCTGTGTCTGCATCAGAGCTGTGTTTAATAAAATATGGCACTAGACTTAAGGGTTTTCTCCTCCTTTCTGATTGACAACTACACAAATGTTATAATTAATCATTTGAAAATATTCATGATCTAGAAAGATTTCCAACAGTGATTTGGGTTGCCAGTCACTGCCTGAAATTTTTCTATAAAAGGTGCAACAAGGACTTGAGACGCAGCTTACTCCCTGTTGCTACCCAACATCCATTTACATGAGTGAGATGAAGAACTCATACTGTTTATCTGCAACATGTCTCTATTTCTAAGCAGTTCTGGGCTGATAAGGTAGCCAAATTTCTTTCAGTTAAATCATATCATATCATGGTTAGGCTTTGCGAACGAAGATTTGGGGAGGGCTCTACCCATAATTGTTACAAGCACACTGGTGTCTAAAAAGGCCAATACGAGAAAGGCAAGTCCGGTTGCAAAAGACACAGCAGAAAGACTCCTTAGGTGGTATGTTCTGCAAGGTACGATTCTTTCTGCATTGTCTTTTCTCCTCAAGAGTGATCCCGCGTGCTTTCTCAAAAGCATCAGCAGTGTTATAGATAGTGTGTCTCCAGACCTCCCAATTGGAGGCCAGAGTAGACCAGTTATGTTGATCAATATGGCCAAGGCTGAGATGTTGTTTCAGGGAGTCCTTGTTATCTTCTCTTTCGGGTTCCTCTCATGCAGCAGCTGGTGGCAGGTTCATCATAAAGCAAGATCTTAGGGAGGTGGTGGTCCTTCATCCTTTAGGCGTGCCCTGCCCAGCGCAGTTGTGCTCTCAGCAACATGGCCTCAATACTTGTGACTGTTGCTTGCTCTAGAACAGACTTATTAGTCACATAATCTGACCAGTGGATGTTTAGGATTGTACGGAGGCAGTGCTGATGGAAGCGTTCTAGGAGTCGCAGGTGGTGGCGGTAGATGACCCATGATTCAGATCCATATAAGAGAGTACACAGCACTATGGCTCTGTAAACACTGATCTTTGTACTTTTCTTCAAGTGTTTATTTCGCCAAACTCTTTTATGAAGCTTCCAAAGGCACTATATGCCTTTGCTAACCTGTTGTCTATCTCTCTGTCAATCTTACCGTCCAAGGAGATGAGGCTATCTAGGAAATTAAACTGCTGGACTGCTTTGAGTTCTGATTCGCCAATGGTGATATGGGGATGATGGACGACTTCCTGAGGTGCTGGTTGATGGAGATCTTCAGTCTTCTTTAAGCTGACTTCCAGCCCAAAGAAGTTCAGCAGCGTCTGCAAAGCAGGATGTTAAACACTGCAGGGCTGCTTCTGTGTGGGTGACAAGGGCAGCGTCATCAGCATAAAGCAGCTCCTGGAGAAGATGATTTAAGGTCTTGGTGTGGGCCTTCAGTCGCCTTAGGTTGAATAGGCTTCCATCAGTACGGTATCGAATGTAGATACCATCCTGATCATCGAGGTCTGCAGTGGCCCTTTGGAGCATCATGCTGAAAAAGACTGTGAATAGGGTTAGTGCGAGAACGCAGCCTTGTTTCACAGCATTAGTTATTAGAAAGGGCTCAGAAAGTGTGTTGCCATATCTGACTTGGGCGTGCTGATCTTCATGGAGTGAGATGATCATTTTAAGGAACTTGGGGGGACAACCTAAGTGTTCCAAAATCTGCCATAGATCTTTTCTGCTCACAGTATCGAAAGCCTTGGTGAGGTCGACAAAGGTTACATAGAGACCTTTGTTCTGTTCCCTACACTTCTCTTGCAGTTGTCTGAGAACAAATACCGTGTCTGTGGTACTCCTGTTGGCTCTGAAACTACATTGGCTTTCAGGTAGAATTCCTTCTGCTATAGCGGGTATTAGTCTGTTCAAAAGTATTCTTGCCGGATTTTGCCAGCAATGGAGAGCAGAATAATACCACGGTAATTTGAACAGTCTGATTTAA